ACACAGTAGGCAACACAGCTTGGTGGCTGCTATGAACAAGAGCCCACGGCAGCTCAGCAGACTTGTCTCTCCCGAGGGAAAGCTGGAAAATCAATTTCTTCTCCCAATAAACCCACAAATCACACCCACAGGCCTCACGGAGCATGCACATGTACACAGAGGCACCTTCAGGTACGACAGCCCTCATTCCACAGGTGGGACAGGACCCACACATGTTACCGTGTGAGCACTATGGGCTAAGCATGGAGACCATCTCCCATAGCCAGTGGCAGCCCCAGCCCTAGGCTACACAACTAGCTGCCCACCCCAGACCTGGATGCTCCCTCCTCAAGGCCTCCTTGCCTTCAAGGACTTTTGGGGGGACTCTTCCCAAGTCTACCCTACTTAGAAGGGTCAGTGGTATAGGCCTTCAGAAATTGGAGCTCCCCCAGCCCTTCCTTGGCAGCTGTGAGCCTCCCCAGGTTACCTTCCAACCTGCCAGCCAGCCCAGCATACACCAGGCACTTAGATGGTACCTGGGGTGCAGATGAGGAAAGAGGAAATGGCCCTGCCCCAGCCCCAGGGGCACCCACTGGGACGAGTCCGGCCCAGCCCTGAGCCGCTCAGGAGGGAGGGACGGGCCCACACACATATGGCCAAGCTTATTTAAACGTCTGAGAGAAGCAATGCATCCCCCCCGCACGTCTGGGTGCCACCTCCCCCCAACTATTTTTACTGTATCAGGAATGTGAGCTGGCTTGTTCCTGCCCTCCCCAGTCGAACTCCTGGAGCTGTGCCTGCTCCTGGGGGCACCTGAGGCAGGGCTGGGGCCCAAGAAGTCCCTGAGAGGGCAGCAAAGATGATGACCACTGCCCAACCCGGGGCCATCTGACTGGGTCAGCAAGCCTGGGGCTGCCCTGGGAACAGAACAGCAGGCTCGCTCTGCTGGGTAGATGTGCCCTTTTCCTCCAGCAGTGCCTGCCCCATGGTAGGCAGCTCCGGCTTCCAGCAGGGGCAGCAAGTTCTATGGGAAGGAGGCCCGATCTGTCACATCACCCGGTTCAGCAGTAGGGAGGGCCAGAGCGAGGCTGCAACAGGCCAGCCAGACCTTGCTGTGCCCACTTGGGGGGCTTCTGGCCACTCACCCTCACATTCAGGTACCTGGGGCAGCCAGGGATGTAAGCACCCTAGAGTGTGGAAATGGGCTTCCTCTAGCCATCCATGCTCCACTTACTATGCTAAATGGTCTATCCCTGAGCTGGCCTGAGCTGCCAACATCTACCTTATCTCAGAAGTTGCTACAGCTCGGGAATCTAGCCCTGGACTGCTGGGGGTGGGCAGCAGCCTGGGCACCAGCTCCAGTATCTAGCCCCTACCCAGACCAGGCAGTGAACTCACAGGGCCTTCCTGTCAACCCATCACCTGACAGAAGTGATGAACCCAAGTTCAAAGCTGTCAAGCTTTGTGGGATGGTGCCAAAAGTCAGGACCTCTCCTCACAGTCAGAGTGGCGGCAAATGGACAGAGCATTCCCTAAGGTCAGTGGTGTCCACTGCTCAGTGCCTTCACCCATAGAGGTCCCACATGTTCGGGTGGCCCCAGGCCCTTACCCAAACTGCCTCTCAGGCTGCCTCCAACAGCTGTGGGAGTGTGGTGCCTTCAACCCAGGGAGGCCCCCAGCATCTGGCCTTCCTTCATCTCCAGCACAGGTGGGCCCTCCTCTGGGCTCCACAGCCTCAGAGAGGGTCCCTCTGGAGCAGAGTAGACCAGGCACTCTTCCTATCCCTCGCTGTCCCTGGCCATCACCAGCTGGTGGTGTGTAGCAACTCAGCTCACAGCAGTGGTATTAATCACGTTCGACAGTCCTACCAAGAAGAGGACTCTATTAATAGCCCATTTCACAGTTTCCTGCTCCCCCAGGTGGCCCTCATTCCTGTGTCTCTGGGGGGCCCTATGTTTGCCACCAGCTACTCACTTCCCTGAGGCCATGGATGCCCTTTCTTCCTCCAGCAGGGTCCAGCCCAACAGCCAAGCACACTTGGGCTGCACTCCCAAAGACAGGTGCCGGGCCAGTGTCTGGGACAGATCCTTGTCCTCAAGCCACTGCCCAGGACATCCCCAGAGCTGGTATGGGAGCCAGCCTTCAGCCATGAATGTTCATGGTCTCTTCTGGAAGGTCGTCAGATTGGAAGGGATGGGCAGGTGCTCCTTGAGAGCCCTGAGTGCCAATGGACAGAGTCATGAGGAAGGAGAGCAGCAGCTGACTGGGTGGGCAGCCTGTGGGTGGGGTCAAGCAGAGCCCAGAGGAAATAGGAAACAGGAGGGCTAAGCCCCTGGAATCCATGCCCAGCCCTGGACAGTCAAGGCTAGAGAGTCCTGGGTCTTCCATAGTCCCAGAGAACTAGCTGGTAGGCCTCAGAAGAAAGGGTGCTTCTGGACACTGAGCTGGCTCTCTAAGTCTGACTTCCTAAAGTGTCTCAGCATCCCCTGAAGTCCAAGACATCTGTCCAGACATCTACCCTGCCCAATACCTCTGCTCCATCCCTACATTCTGCCCTACGAGACGGGGTAAGGCTCTCTCTAGTTCTGGCCCTCCCGGGATGCCTTCTATGCTATCTCATCATCCCTGATGACCCAAAATGGCACAGGCAGCAGCATCTGCAAACTGGGCTGCCAGTCAGTTATCTCAACTACAGGGCCAGAAGCTGGAGACCTGAAAAGTTCCAGCAGGAAATGGCACTATCACTGACACAGGGCTGCGGCCTGACCGACCTGAATCCCAGACACCCTCAGTCCCCCTGGGAATTCTGTGTTGCTGACTCTGAGCAGGCTGAGCACCTCCCACCCCAGGAGAGAGTGGCCAGTTGCTCCCAAGTCTGGCCTCCACCTTCATACCTCAGGATCTGCCTGGGTCCCCTCTTGGGCAGAACTGGAGGGGGTCCCAAGGCCAGCCCCTCAAGGGGGACATCCAACCACAGCTCAAGGATGTCACCTAGCTGGTATAGAGCCTCTGCACCTAGGGGAGTGACTTCCAGAAACCAAAGAGAACACCCCATTGTGAAACCAGTGCTTACCTCCCCCATCCTGTCCCTTCCCTTCCCCAAACAGGAAGTCTGTCCAGCCAGCCAGGAGCCCACATACACTGTGCTGGAAACAAACTCCCAGGAAGAGGCAGCCTCCCTCCTCTGATTACTCATTCCCCCTCCCCAACCCTCCTCCAGTCAACTCTCTGAGCTGGAGCCACAGGCTCTGGCCCAGGATAGGCCCCCTACCCTCACACCTGTCCCAAGAGAGGGCGTTTCCCTGGGCAGAGGCTGCCTGGCTCTCCAGAGAAGGTGCCAGGAGCTGGGGAGCCTTCGTCATCAGCTTATTAGTGGTGCAGATGGAGGACTGGACCCAGGACGCCGGCCCATCTGCTCCATCCTCGGCTACACATTGAGACTGCGAGGCCCCTGCTGTTGCATCTCTCCCCTGAGGCCACCAGCCCTCACCTAGAGGATGGAGGCAAAGAGGTGGGTTTGTAGTCTTCCTGCCACCACTACCCCCTCCCTTCCTAAGACCAGGGCTCTTCCCTTACGCAGCTACAAATCTCCCATGTGTCCCATCTTCCAGACCCTGGGGCCTCAGGGCTACATGGCCTCTTCCCCCTTAACGAGCAGGTGTTCCAAGCCAAATACCCAACCAGAGCACAGACTCCATGGGGCACACTGTGGACCAACCAAGCATGAACACACCAGCTAGACCTTCCTCAGGTCAACTAACCCTGCTGCCACCCTGGGATGGGGGCTGTGGTCAGAGAGGGGGTGCATCCAAACACTAGGCCATTGGGTCCCACAAGGGCCCAACAGAGCGCACCAGTAGCCCTGTCCACACTGGCCATCCTGTCCTCTAGTCATAAAGGGCATCTTAGCCAGGGAGGGGAGGAGGGGCAGGAAGGAAGGGACAGGCATTCCTGGAGCAGCCATAGAGGCCAGGCATGGCATGGCACTGCATACACACTGGATTTGAATGCTTACAAGCTGCCCTATGAGGTAGCCCCACACTATCCTTTTCCAACCCTGAAGGCTCAGAGAGGGTTCCTAGTGTGAGGAGGTCACACAGCCCTTCAAGCTCTCCCATCCCTACCCAACATTCATGTCAACCAAGGGCAGAACAAATCCAGTCCCAGATCAACCAGGTTCCAAATGAATCACCCAGAACTACTCTCCTTGGAACCCGGGACCTTGAACATAAGTTTTTCCTGCTACTTAACCCAAGTAACTCCTGCTGTAGTTATAACCATGGGCCCCCTTCACTTATAGCCTCTCCCACACTGACTCAGATCCAGCATTGTGTTGGAGCAGACAAGACCCTGCCCAGGAGAAGCTCTGCCTGCCCCAGGGCACTAAAGACGCCTACTCAAGAAACCGAAAGAACAGCTTCTTCTCACACCCAACCTCCTTGATTTGTCGCTCTGGGCGCCTTGGGGACTCATGCACCCCTGATGGCCCACACACCTTGTCTGCCCAGGGCAATGCCAGTTCCCTATCCTGGAAAGTGGGACAGATCTGAGCAAGCGTGTGAGTGTTTAACTCCAGAGCACCTCATGGTGCCCTGCAAACCACCGCAGGATGGAAATAAAAAGCCCTGGGGTTCTGTCCATGGTGCTGATCAGAGCTCTGCCCAGCCCACAACCCCCGCCCCTTCCCAGCTCCAGACCTACCCCTCCAGATATTCCCTGGGGTGGACTGGGAGTCAGGGGACAGTGGCCAAAGGGTAGGAGCACCTCATCCTTCAGAATGGGACCTCTTTACCTTTTCAGTGCCATCTACCTGCAAGATACCAGTGTGGGGCAGACAGGAACTGGACTAGAGCAGCTGGAGGGGAACGCTGTCACAAGGCTGCTCTCCCATAGACCCTAAAGGAGGGCTCAAGCACTGCCTTCGATGAGCCAGTAGGTCACCAATGCACAGCACAGCGCTGGCTCCGGGATCAGGACAGGGAGAGTCACAGCCTTCTTCCAGGGGCCCTCCTACCCCTTACCTTGGTCCCGGCTGAGCCCGCCGGGGGACCCAGACTCTTCCATGGCCCGCAGGCACCAGCCCCACTGTTATCGGCACGGCCCGAGGGGGCCGGGGCCCTGTACTGGGCCCCAGTGTCCCCCAAGCTGTAGCCCTATCCGGGGCGCCCCGCGCACAGCGCCCATGCCCGCGTTCAAAGCCCGTTGTTGCTAGCTTCTAGCAGCGGCTCACCAGCGAAGGAAGAGGGTAGAAGAGGGGCGGGATGAAGCCTCACCCGCCACCACTGGGACCGCCCCTCCCACAGGAGGCCCGCCTGCCCTTAACCCTTAGTTGTCCAGCTCCTGGTCCACAACCATCACTGTGCAGAGATGTTGATGCAAATCAAGCAGGGAGTTTCAGGTGGGCACCCAGCCAGTTTGTGCTGGCTGCCAGAACCTCTCTGAGATACCAGCAACTGCTCACTATCCATCCCGCCCACCAACTCCCTCCAGGCTGGTTCCTCCTATCAGAGGCACAGAGGCCAAATGCCCCTGACTGGCTGCTCCTGATAACCACAGGGTCCCTTTGATCGGCACATTGCCAGGCCCTCTAGCTAGACCCTCCAGATTTACCTCACCCCCAGCAGGGACTCAAAAAGGGCTGAAGTAACCTTCAGCTGCCCTGGCCAGGGGTGTACAGCCTTGAGGAGGCTAGAATGAGTTCTGTAAAAAGCCTACCCTTGCCTCTCGGCTATACAGCCCTGTGGGTCTGGCGAACAGTAAAGGATGTTGGGACACCAGAGAATGGCCCCTTGCACACACCTGCCCCAGGCCGGTTCCTAAGTTCCATGGGCTGAGCCGGTGCAGCCTGGGTTCACCTCTCTGGGACCTGCCTGATCTGCATCCAGCATCTAGACAAAGCCCCATTCTCTGGACTGCTCAAGCCAGCCCTTGAGAGGTGATGAAAAGAACCACTTCTCCTAGCACATCAGGTAGGAGCTCAACCTCACATCCCAGACAGGGGCCTGGGATAGTGAGTGGAGATGGAAAAGAACAGGCAGGTAGACAGGTCCCAGTAGGAGGACAGATGAGGCCACCTCTGGTCTCTCTGAACTGCCACCTCCAGGTGGGATAGCCTCCTGCCAGGCAGGCCCCCAGGTGTGAAGGGGGAGGGGAGCCTTCTTAGTGGTACCAGCTGGGTCCTGCCAGAATAAGCCCTGGGCCCTGCTGCCTGGAACCCTTAAAGGAGCAGCTTTTTTCTCCCCCTCCTTTACCACTACTCACATGTCCTGGCCCCTTGTGACCCTGCCCTGGACTGTGGGAACTGCCCTCTGGGTGGATACTGTGTCTCAAGAACAAGGGGTAAAACCACTCAGGGGCGCCAGAGGCCAGGGAGCCACGAGGCACAATCCCAGGAGGTCTTATAGCTAGGCTTCATGTGTCTCCTCAGAAAAAAAAGAAACTGAGGCAGTGAGAGAAAGGGAAAGGAGGCAGAAGACAAAAACCAAAGACAGAGAGAGAGAGAGAGGAGAGAGAGAGAGAGAGAGAGAGAGAGAGAGAGAGAGAGAGAGAAAGCCAGGCAAGTGTAAGGTCCCTGGGGAGCGGCCCGGAGTGGGACACCTTCCCCTTGGATGGACAAAAGGCCTCTGAGTGTCCCCAGAGAAGCCAGGTGAAATAGTTCACATGCTAATGAATAATCCACTGCACGGCTGGCTCCCCCACACACTCCCCTCCCTTGCAGCCAGGATGGTTTCCGGCACTGAGGCTGCGATTAAAAGTGGTGATTAAAATCCACCAGGCACATGTTAATTTGCTCAGATTCTGATCTCTTTTCTGGGTGTTTAGGCAGAATTTGCTGAACGCATTTGACTTGCCTAGTAGCAGGAAGGCGAAAGGAAAAGCCTATGGCCCTGGAGTTTCATTTTCTCCTTTGAAGAGAGCCACAGGACAGGTGTAGGGTACTGTGGGGGCCCCTGCTATGGCCCTGTTCCTCCAGGGTGGGCTCCACATGTTCAGCTAGGGGTGGGATTCCCACATGCCAACAGGATCTGCTCAACCTAAGCTACGATTATAGGGGGATCCTGCTCCCTAAGGACAGTTCTCACTCTCCAAATCACAGTGTTTGTTCCTCTCTTCCCCAGCCCTTCACTGCAGAGGCATTGCCAGAGAAGGGCTAGAGGATGCTGGATCCTAGGGCCTGCCAGGCGCTCTCAACCAGGCCTGCGCGTAGAGAGACCCTGAAGAGAACACCACACAGGTGTTCACACATGCTGTGGGGCCTGGCATAGCTGACACCTGCCCCTCATTCACAGGTGCGTACACTGCTCACATCTCACCTATCTACCCCAGGCCCCGCAGGGTCCGCTTCTGGTCTCTCAGCTGGGAGGGGGCATTCTTATCTTTCAGACTGGATAGAGGTCCGAGAACGTCAGCTGCCCTGTCCCCGTCCCCCCCACCCCGTCTCCGTGTCCCACAGTGGATGACGATACAGCCTGGGCAGATCTAAACACCCACTCCCCTGAGCCTGCTTTCCACTGTTTCACAGTCTACCTGAAGGGTGTGAAGCAGCAGCCCTAAGTCCAGCACAGGATGGCCTCCACTTCCCAGTGCCATGGGAAGCCTGTGGGTGGTTCCAGGCACAAGTCAGGATGGCCAACCCAGCTGCGTGTAGTAGGATGCTAAGAAGGGAACAGTCCCTCAAAGGCAGAGATATGGTGATGAAGGCAGCTTGAGGGGACAGCCAAGAAGGCCAACTGAGCAGAGAAGAGATGCATGAAGCCTCAGAGAGACAGGGCCCCTCCAATTCAGGGCATCCCTAGCACATTGTACTAGCCAGGGGGCAACCCTGTGGGCAACTGGGGGCAGCATCTGGGAGCAGAGCTCAGTATCATGAGCCCAGAGCTGGGGCCTGGGGCCTGATGGCCAGGGGTGGGAAATAGCAGGGGCCCCTGCTGTGGCCCTGTTCCTCCATGGCGAGCTCCACATGTTCAGATAGGGGTGGGGTTCCCTGTCAGGGTGGAGAGTGGAAACTGGGTATATCCTAGGAAATACTACAGGGGAGTTGGAGGGGCTGAAGAGCCAGGCTTAACCCAGAAGGAACTGTGCAGGTACCCCTCCCCCAGGCCTAGAAATGCCCCAGTTCCAGTCCTGGCTCTGCATGCCTCCAGGTTACTCATTGGGATCCACTGTATCTCTGGCCTGCTTCCCCATCTGTCAGCTAGGGAGGACCAGCAGCCTGGGAGGGCCAAGCCAGCCTACAGCCTTGAGCTGACACTTCTTTCTGAAGAGCAGTCCCCTAGGTGGGCAACAGGCCCTCTAGTGGCTCAGTGGGCTAAAAGCAGAGGGTTAAGCCCCTTCAACAGCCAACGCTGTAAAGAGGGTGTTAAGCGGCACTGGCTCCCCTGTTCTGGGGTCAGAGGCTCTGCCTGTGGCTGGGCAACAACAGCCACTTTCTAACAGTCTCCTGGAACAGGAGACCAGGAACAACACCCCCTCCCAACCCAGGAGAGCGATTCACACCTCCGAATCCTTTGTGGGGCGCCTCAGATCTGGACTTCCAACTTCTGTCCTACATAAATCTCCAAGGAAACGCTTCCAATGGCCAGCAGCCATGGATTGAGAGCCTCAGCACACCTCTGATGGCCCAAACCAGCAGCCTGGCCACATCACTGAGCGATGTGCGCTGCTCAGGGGCCCTGAAGTGGCCCCCGTTCTGCTCCTGTAAAGAGAACTTGCTCTCCCAAGTCTGGAGGGCCCCAGAGGCCACTGACTCCAACCTCTTTGTTTTCCAAAGAGGGCAGCCTTCTAGGGTGGGCAGGCCCCCACCATCATGCTGGCCCTGTGAACAGCAGGGTCTGCTGGCATAAAACACTATAATTACCTCAGTAGTGTTGAACAGGTGTAAGCCCCTCGGGTGCCAAGTCAGTGTTGACAACCTTGCCACTGGAATACACACAGGCCCAGCAGTCCATGCTTGAGACATTTTATTAATTATTCAATATTGAAGGCAATTTAGTGTTGCATCTTGCCTGGTTTGAAAGTTCTGTCAATGTTACCACCTCTGGGAGGAACAAAAGCTGCTCTGGAGGACCTGGCAGGAGGCCCGGCCACCCCATGGCCCTGGCACGCCCTGGACATCAACATGGGCTGAGTAACCTCTTGCCCTTAGTGGCAGGAGACAGCAAGTGCATGCAGGCTGAGGCAGGTGCATGAGCCTTTAGGAATAGGCTTGCCCCTGCCCCTGCCCCAGTGTCTCTACTACGAACGCCCCTGCCCACTTGGTCCACAAATGCCTTCAAGGAATCACACCCAATATGGAGTTGAGCCCAGGTCACCAGTCTCAGAGTGAAAGCCTTCAGAGGGGTGAGTGACCTCAAGACAGGCCAATAAGGAGCTGACCTGACCCCAGCTGCCCCAGAGTGACCACAGCTGGCCACTGACCACAGCTGCCCCAGTGACCAGAGCTGCTCTGAGGACCACAACTTCCCCAGAGTGACCGAAATTGCCCTAGTGACCACAGTTGCCCCAAAATGACCATATCCGCCTCAGAGTGACCACAGCCAACTCAGTGGCCACAGCTGACCCAGTGACCAAGCTGCCTCAGAGTGACCATAACTGCCCCAGAGTTACCACAGCTGCCCCAATGATCAGCTGCCTGTAACCACAGCTGTCCCAGTGACCAGAGATGCCCTAGAATGACCACAACTGCCCCAGACTGACCAAGAAGGGACTGCCATACCCACCTGTCCATATTCCCAAGCCTAGTGTTCAAAAGGAACATCACTCAATTCCAAGGCACAGGAAGAAACGAGACAAAATAGAAATTGCTAGAGGTGGCGTCCCTGGAGGGGGAAGGCAAGAGGGGGAGATGGAAAGCTTTGGTTGTAACTGTCCCCATAGCAGTCCTGCATTGCCAGGGCAGGAGGGCAGCTGAGGCCCCTAGGCTGGTGACCAGCTCTAATCCCAGAGCCCAGGGCTTCAGAGAACACCGGGGTCATCATAGTGCGGGTAATGATGGGGGAGGCAGAGGGTAGAGGCCAGGGCAGCTGGAGGGTCAAGAAATTTCAGAAAGGCTCTGGCCTAAATTGTCACAGCCACAGGTGCTGACTCCAAGTGCCCAGGGCCATATTGGCAAATAGCAGCTTGCCCTCATCAAATGGCATCTGTGGCCACACACCTATGGTCTGGCTCCACATTCCCCTAGGAGGGCCTCCAAGCCTCCTCAGGTGCCAAAGGGAGAGCCTGGCCTCG